TTGTAGAGTTCTTGGTCCGAGGTAACACCTTCAATCTTAGCAGCCCAGTAGGCCCGCTTAGCTTTCCTGACTGTACTCAAGAAGACCTTCTGCTCTTCGAGGATAGCGAGACGTGGCGTCTGCTGTGGTTCTTGGGCTTGTCGGCAGCAGGCCTCGCGGTACTTTCGGTGGGCCTCTACGCACTCCTCCGTCCACCAAGGGGCCCCCTTCCCATATTTTCCTCGTTTCTTTCCTGCGGCCTGGACAGCCGTGGAGAGAAGGTCGACTATTCTTCCAGCTTGGGTGTCCAACTCGGCAGGGGTAGGTTCGTCCTGGAGATTGGGTAAGACTGAGGCTCCTGCATTGATCAGGTCTCTAAACCGGGGTAGGGCCGAGTCTGGGACTGATAGTGACCGTGGTTGATCTGTCTGTTGTTGTCGTTGCTTATGAAGCGGGATTGTTGAGACAATTGCTTGATGATCGGCCCCTGGGTGAAGGTGTGGGCTGACCACTGCGTGTGCGAGGGGAATGTTTGAGAAGGTAAGGTCAAGTACATGGCCTTGGGCATGAGTCGCAGTCCCGTCTCGCCGATGAATGTCAGGCCGTGGCCATCTGCCCAGTCTGCTATGTCGCCCCCCCTATTCCTGTTCCTCGAACCGGGCTCCCAGGAGTAGTGGTGAGCGTTAAGGTCCCCTGCTACAAGGACTCTTTCTGGCGGCCTGTATCCTAGGAGTGTTGTGGTTGTGTGATTGTGAGGATCTCCTGGTTGTCTGTATACGTTCACCACAGTAATTGCGTTATCAACTGTGATCCATAAGATGTCCCTTGTCTGCACGGGTCTCTGCTGCTGGGCCTTCCACTTCATCCCTTTTCGTACGTATGTCATTACCCTAGGTCTGGTTTCCCTGTCCTTCCAGGGATCCACTGGGACGTAGGAATCAAACCCTGGGTGTGTGTTGATTTGCATTTTGTCAACATAGCCTATCCAGGGTTCCTGGACCAGTACAATGTCGATCAGCTCAGCCCAACAGAGCTCCAGGAAAGCTGTGTGTGCTGGCGACTGCTTCCCTACGTTGCACTGGGCTATGTGTAGCACCTGTGGAGAGGCCTGCTTTGGCCTATGTCTCCGAGTCGAGTTCCAGGTGGATGTAGGCATTAGCAACGTTGTAATCCGGTTTCTGGGCTACCCTCTGACTCCTGCTCAAGAGAGGTAGAATAGCGCGGTTAATCTGGGGAGGACACTCGGCGTCCTTAGGATCATCCTCACTCATGCTGCTACTATCGGTGTCCCTGTCCCCAAGGCACATAATTGAGCTCTCAGAAGGTGTCCTTTTGCGCGGCCGCTTGAAGCCGAGCGGTTGGTCCTGGTCGGAGGGAGGGAGGTCCCCAGGCTGTTGGGTGCTGTTCCGAGAGGCGCTTAGACTGGCCTCATAGAGGGCGTCATGGGCCTTCTGACCAACCTTGCGGATCCGGGCCCGCTCCTTCCGGTCTGGGAGAGCAGGGATGCCGTTCATCGTCAATGGCCTTGCTGGACAATTCTTGTGGCTGGCCTGGAATGGGCCGCAACAGTTCGCACACTGAGGTTTGGCTGTACAGGGCCCAGTCTCGTGCGAGTCTGAAGGTCTGCTGCAGTTGTTGCAGAGCGGCTGTCGGTTGCAGTAGCTGTTTGGGTGGTAGCCCTGGCAGCCAGGGTCGTGTCTGATAAGCGTCTTCCTCTTCTGAATGAGTTGGGACCTGCTACTTTGGTTGAATAGTCTGAAGGGTTGTACCTCTGTTAAGAATGAGATCACCCGAGAGACTTCGTTCGTAATGGGGTTCGGCCCAAGGCGGGATTGCCGGGCCCGAGTGGGCTTCTGTCTTGTCTGGGCAAAGACCTCATCTTCGATCAGGATGGTTGGGTCCAGGGCGTCCCCGTCAACGCTCCACAGTTTGGCTGGGCAGCGCGGGACGACGTAGGTAAACCACTTTATAGGAGTCTCTATCTTGTAAGCCCCTAGGCAGACCGCTAGTTTTTGCTTGTCCGCCAGGAGACCTTGCTGAATCTGCTTGTTTGATGGCCTCAGTGAGTATCCGGTCGCAACGTGGTAGATATGAGGGATATCTGCCAATTGGAGGTCGAAGATCCGGCAAACTGTCTGGCGGAGGGCAAAAGGGGCGTTCTTTCGGGCAGCCGACAGGCCCTCCTCCGGGATGCGGGCGAAGACCCTGAGGTCCTCTTTCGGTTGAGGTCGGGGCTGGGGTTGGGCCTGGGATTTCGTCTGGGGTCTGGCCTGCAGGTGGGTCGGAGCCCGATGGGGGTCCGGAGCTGTGGCTGGTGCCGAGGCCGTGACGGCAGCCCAGCTCCGGGTCAGTGTCGGAGCATGTTCCTTGTTGATAAGCTTCTTTAGGGCTTGGATCACATAGGCCGTAGCCTCTTTCGCGATCTGCTTCCTGGGGCCCTCGAAGCTGGAGACGACATTATCAACAGACTGCGCGATAGCTACGAAGACATCCTTACGGGCCTCATAGTGCCTGGCCTCCTCGTCAAGGGCGGACAAGACAGACCCAGTGGCGGTCCTGCCAGTGGCTGGAGTTGAGATCGGGAGCCCCTTTGCCGATGGGGGAGCCGGGTTGAAGGCGTTAGGCTGGCTTCCCGCGAGGCTGGGCCGGAGTGGCTGAGTCTCGGTATTGCGGCGGCGTTTAGCCCTTGATGGAGAGGTTGGCTCTGGAGGTGGCCCAGAGCCCCGATCGGGGCCGGCCGGTGAGGCCGGCAGCGGTCCGATGCCCGCCGGAGGCTGTGAAGCCATCGCGGAAGGGCTCCGGAGCAGAGAGGTGAAGAGTTTTCGGCTGTTAAGGATTCTGGTGGTTCACCACGTAGTTCACTAACAGATGATGCCAAGAAAAATTAGGCGAGAGGGAAGTTTGATATATTCACACTAGCCGCCACTTATTTAGAAAGGTCCAAAAGGGCTTTGGGGAAATGGCCTATAGACTGGCAGTCCTGGAGCATGAGAATCAGGCATTGCGATCCCAGATGGATACGCGGCGAGCGAGCAAGAGGAAGAAAGTCCAGCTAAATCCTAACTCGAAGTTCGCCAATATCGAGGACATTCGGCGGGCGCAAATCGAGGCTGGCGAAGCAGAGGATAGCACAGATGAATCCAGCGGATCTGAATTATCTAGTGAAGCAGAAAGTTGTATCTGGGTGGGTGGTAGGGATGAGGAATAATCGGGATAGGGGTAGTGGTGATGGGTTAGGTAGATGAGGTGCGGGGGATGTGGGGCTGCGTGGCAAGTAGGGGTGTGACAGATCTTCAGTATGGTCAGCAGCGGCATAACGAATGGGGATAAGTGTGGTTTTTATTGCTTAGAGTGATCTGCTGGGCCTGCAGTAGATCTATATAAACGAGTGTCATCTATCCCTTGAAGGGCCATCCTGTCCCGACTATGCCGTTTGGCGAGTAATGAATGTATCGGGTCGGTTTTACTAAAGCGAGGGTATCCCAGGTTCTGTCAGGGTGCTTGAGATAGTCCCTTTGGGGGCTAGGTTGGCTGTCTAGGTCCCGTGCCGGAGCCCGTCCCCTAGTAGCGTGGGAAGATCTTCCGAAAGAAGTGGAGCATCGCTCCAGAGATCCCATAGGTCCTATGGCTTAGCGCCGCCAGCCCTCCCCATTTTATCCGCTGAGCGGCAAGCCAATCAATAGTGGACGTGGATACATTAACGGGAGTCCCGCGATTGGCCAAAACCCAACCACAACCTAAGCCTCGAGAAAACGATATCCGTCCTTACCCATCGATCAAAAAGTCGAGCAAACAACGTTCACTTCCATTGTAGACCGATTTCTTTGATGTCTAAGATTTTCCCCAGTTACAACAAAAGTCATGAAGTCCACCTTGAACAGCCAGGCAAGGACGTGACATGAGCTTCTTGAGGGTGAGTGCACCCAATAATTAGGTGGTCGAACTGCGTGGGCCGGATGAGTCACCGGTCATGGATGCACCTTGTCTGCTCCGTTCTGGACGACAGGGGAAATATCAACAATGCGGAGCCAATAACTTTTTGTGGAGGCAGTCCCCCCTATTGGTGAAATTCAAGGCGCCGCACTTCAAGTCAGAGTTGAGTTTCAAGGCCCTGCTTCATTCCCCGTCTCCCTTACAAGGGCCTCCAATCACCTATCTATCGTCTCGAACAAGTTACAGCCCTTTGACCATCCATCAACCAACCTCTCCCCATTTGAAATTGTGTCTGTCATTTGCTCTTTTGGTCACATTCCCCAAACCAACTCGGAGTGTTTCGTCCGGCTTGACACCATTATTCCGCTTGAGGTTGTCTCCGACTTTATTTCAACCTCGTTTGGCGGTCTCGGCGGCAGAGCTGTCGTCTACCAGCTCTAACCACGCTGCCAAAGCAGCTCTCCCGGGCATGTATGGGCAGGAGCAATATTGCTTCAGACGTCTCCAGAGTTGTCATGTCCGGTCGCTGCATGCCCCCCTACGATTTGTGCCATTCCCGGTCTATTCCTCGAGCAAGTCAAGGTTTCTGCAGCCGCGAGCCACAATCTGGCTCTGAATCCAGGCTGCCCTTTCATCTGAGCCCTCTTTCTGGTTCTTGCGCCAACCCTCACCAGAGTGCCATCCCGCCTACTCATCGATTCCAGCAGCTATCATCGACTCAATGTCACCCAAGTCATGTGTCAGTGGAAATGTCATGGCCACATCGACACAGGAATCCGCTCCTATCAAACGAAAGAGGGTGAGTAAACCAAAAGTCCGGACAGGCTGCCTAACTTGGTGAGTTGTAACGAGTCCATCTCCACCGTCATCGACCAGAAAGCTCACTCCTTGGCAGCAAGTAAGACTTGTACCCACAAACCTAAAATAGGAGGATGAAAAGATTGATGGCTCCGACAAAAGCTACTACTGCCTGGTTCCTTGACTAACATGTTCATCGCAGAATCAGACGCATCAAATGCAGCGAGGAACACCCTGCCTGTGTGCGGTGCACTTCGACTGGACGGGTTTGCGATGGTTACGACAAGGCCATGCCGCCTCGTCTCAAAGCCGCCGTTGGGGCGGCCATCAAGGAACGCTGCCTACAAGTCTGGTCCGATAACCAGGCCCTGCGCATATTGCGGCCCATCGTCGCCGACATCGACGGAACACAAGCAGAGCGTCTTTACTTTCATCGGTTCCGTCGCGTAGCAGACGCCGGTCTCTGCAATCACGTCACAAACCTCACCAATTTCTGGAGCAGGCTTGCCCCGCAGCTAAGCCATTCTGATGAGGCCGTGAAGCATGCCATCGTCGCCCTCGGCTCTGCGTACCACATATATCAGACAGCACCCCCGCCCGGCGGGGACGGCGCAACGCCGCGCGAGCTCGAGATCTTCACGATCCAGCAATACAGCACCGCTATGTCCAAGCTCTCAAGCTACGCCTATGTACCGATGAAGGACAGGATCACCGTCACGCTGTTGTGTTGCGTGTCGTTTGTATGCATCGAGACGTTGCGCAACAACTGGCGGCCGGCCCTGATGCACCTCTCAAACGGCTTGCGCATCATTGAGAGCCTTCCCCTGAGCACGCTCGACAAGCTACGGGATCCCCTGCCGCCCTATGACAGGACAGGGGCTACAGAAAGCATGTTGGGGATGGATTACATCCTCAGACTGTTCGCCACATGGGAGGTTTCCTGCGCGCTGTTCGCTGAGAACTTCAAGCCCGTCATCTCCATCAAGCTGTACGAGGGACGCGAACTGGACGACACGCCGCTGGACGAGTTCGAAACCATCATGCAGGCTCACCGAGCCATTGTACAGTACACGCGCGACGTCTTCGCCCTGGTATGGTTGACTCAGGAACATCAAGGCGATGACGAATTTTGGTCTCAACCGCTTCTTTGCCGCCAGCACGAGATATTGATGGACAAGGGCGACTATCTTACCGGTCTCTTTGAGCGGTTTATGGACCGACCCCAAGCCCCCGCAGGCGGCACGGAAGAGTACTACTCCGTCTGTCTTGACATGCTTCATTACAAATGCGCACGGCTGCTGTGTCAGACGCTGCACCAGAAGCCCCATCAAAGACAGCAATCACCAGACATCGTAGCTCAACACGCCGACCTGGTCTCAATAGCCACTCTCCTGCACCGAGGGCTAGCTGCCAAGCAGCGGCAAACAATCACACTTTCTCGGTCTTTCACTCTCGATATTGGCATCATTCCGCCTCTTTACTTTATTCTGGTTGCTTGCCAGGACCTGGCGGTGCAAGAAAAGGCTCTTGGGATTCTGCGAGACTACCCACAAAAGGAAAATCTCTGGGACGGCAACTCAGTACGCAACCTACTGGTCACCGTCGGGAATGTTAGTTACGGACCGGCGCATCCCTTCAAGGACGTCCCTCATTCTTTGGCGTTTGGGAAGGGAATACCCGCTCTCTACGAGAAGCTGCAGGAACTGCATATCAGGGTTGAAAAGGTTTGATTGTGATGGATGGTTTGGGTTACGAGGGCGATTTGCTTCATATCCTGGGAGGCGTTCCCCAAACAGGTTCCAAGCGTCGTTGAAAGACTGTGCATGGAAATGTAGGTTGTATTATGCGCCTAGGAATGAATGTGTTGGGCAGCGATCGGCAGGTAGGGGGTCAATAGGATGTATTGATGAGTATGAAGAACGAAAGACCAAGGGAATAGCCCGACTATCTCTATCCCATCGAGTGCGGATTGACGCCATTTTTGCCAAGGGCGGGGTAGAGCCAATAAGGGGTTGGGAATCTATTGAGTTAATCAATAGGGTTACAGTACCTCTATTGCCTATATATTCTGCGTATGCCAGAGGTACCAACAATTTCCTTGGATACATAAAGGTACGTTACAATCCAAGCAGCCCTTCCTCGTATATTTACGCCGCGTGAGGGTATTCCCAGATATGTTACCTAGGGTCTGGCGGTCTCTTATTGCCCCTAGATTACTACAATAAGAACAAGGCGTATCAACCTTCCGTGACCCCTTTGTATGCTGTTCCCATGGAATAGAGGTATTCCTCTTATCTACAGCCCGCCCAGGCCGTGAATACCTCCGCCCACCTGCCAATGGTCCAAACTGCTGGATAAGCTGGGCTGCTAGCAACTACCGCCATTGATAGTTGGATTCTACCTTCTGCCACCTAGGGCTGCCCCAGAGCTGTAATAAGAAGCTATTCACAACTACCACTTCCAGCAAGAAATTCCAGGCTAGGGACTGCCAGCCCCCTCGCCGAATGGGGTGACCGTATTGATAATAGGACCTCCTTTGGTTACTCACATCAATCCCATTCATCTTATGGTTGTATTCATCGATTGTCTTAGGGACTGGAAGGTCCTTGCGGACATCTGGGCCAAACACTTGCTGGGCAGCCTTTTTGGCAGCAGTATCCCCAGTTGGGCGGCGGCGGCTTCGAATAACCTCCTGGTTATTCTGGAAGACAGTTGACAGGAAGAGTACGAGGGCATTATCCTTCCAAGTGAACTGGTTGACCTATTCACTAGTTAGCTAGGCTGGGCTGGGCTGGGCTGGCTGGTAGCTTACCTCCCCATCTAACGTAGGGATACAGTGTATTTTGCCCCAGGGGATACCCCGTCCTTCAGTCTCTTTCTCATCAACTAGGATCTCATCTATCCCACTATCCTTCTGGCAGGTACCAGAAGCACCAACCTCTTGTTTCCGTAAGGTACTAAAGAGACGTATAGAGGAGAAGAGGTTATCTAAGAAGACGTGGTAGGTTGCAGCTGGAAGTAGTGAAATAAGGGTAGTTACTACCTGCTGTGTTGGTGTCAACTGGGCCAGCTTTCCAACAGCTAGCCCGGCCGGGCCCGGCCCGGCCGATCGGGCAGTCCGGGCTGGCTGGGTTGAACGGGCTGGCCGGGCGGGCGGGCTGGGCTGGCCGGGCTGTGCCTGGGGGACCAATGCGTATGGGCCCTTTCCGTGTACGTGCCAGAGCCACCGTATACAGTAGCCAGACTGGGCAAGGGTCCAGATCTTATACCCAGTTGGGATGGGTTTCGTTTTAATCGTAGTTGTCTCAAGAGACCGACCCTCAAATCGGACCATAGCCTCGTCAACTGTAAGATCTGAACCAGTTGTATAAAAGGAATCCCCAGTCTTTTGGATAATTCAGCCACCCAGGATTTGAACCAGCCCCACATTTGAACCACCATCAACACCACCATACCCATCAACATCATCCATTATTCCTCATCCTTACCGCCTACCCAGATGCAACTTTCTGCTTCGCTGGGTAATTCAGACTCGCTAGATTCAGCTGGACAATCCTCTGCTTCGCCACCCTCGATTTGCGCGCGTCGGATATCCTCGATATTTGCGAACTTCGTATTGGGGTCCAGCTGGACCTTTTTTCTCTTGCCCTGTTGCTGACTATCCATCCGGGCCTGAAATGACTGTATCTGGCTCTCTAGAACTGCCAGTCTATGGGCCTGTTCGTCCCAGCCTTTGCGGATCTTCCTACGCAGATGCCTTGCAGTATGGATGTTTTGGGTATTTTGCCTTAGCTGACTGAACTGTCGCAACAGATGGTCAAGGTCAGCAGACTTGCGCGGCGTTGACCAAGGGACCTCAGATACAACAGCATCCTATTGCTGGCTGGCTGACTGACTGTCTGGCTGTCTGGCTGTCTGGCTGGTTGGCTGGCTGGCTGGCTGATGCTTTGGATACGAAGGAGCTAGATAGGGGGCGTATCATATCAACTGGCCATAACCCTGTATATTTCCAGCCACTTCTAATAGTCTGACCAGTTAAGGCTTCTAGACGTGCCCGTCTATAGCAGTCTAGAAAGGCCTTTTTGCCAGCAACAGTTGAATCGTTCCATAGATCCAGATACCCTAGGTGCTTCCTATAGGCAGTCTTCAGAGGTCTAAAGACTGACTGGTCTAGAGGCTGGAGGACGTGCGATGTATGCGGCGGCAGAAAAAGGAGGTGTATACGGTTCTGGAAGCATTGCCACATAAAGTCTGTTGTTGTATGGCTGTGATAGGCATTTAGAACCAGCAGTCTGGCCTCGCCAGGCTGGCTGCCAGGCTAAGAGACAGTCAGAGGGATAAAGACCTTTTCTAGCCACTCAAGGGCAGTTTCGTCAGTTGTCCAGCCATTCCTAGTAGCTGTAAACTGCCAGCCAGCATAGGGCTGGAGGGCTAGAGGATACCATTGCTGCTGGACTGACTTGCCCTTGTAGATAACAAGGGGATGCAAGGAGTTGCCAGCAGCCGAGACGCACTCGATCAGTGATATTCATGCCCGCGATCCAGGCTGTCTTTTCTGGATATATCTTGTCTCTGCAGAGCCCAGCACCAGCCCGTTGCTCCCTTTGCCCTCAAGGATACCAGTCTCATCCATGTTCCATCGGTTGGCTGGTTTGATGGCCTTGACTGCTGGCAGCTCTAGGCGATGGAACCAATCCTGGATAATATCAGCCTTTGCCCCATTGATGCGTCTAGAATCCATTGCTCGGCTTCTTTAGGTTCTAATGGATGGGTTTCTGCGGAGGAAACGGCCTATCCACTTCCTCCCAAGTGGTCTAGAGCCATCACCTAGGATACGCCTAGCCAGCTCTTTCACTTGCTGATGGGTTGGCGCACATCCTAGGGCAGCTTAAGTACTAACCCAGTCAGCAAGAAGACTTTCCTGTGTCTGAGAGAGTCTCTACAACCCAACAAAGGCAGTATCTCTAGACTGGGTGCCGTGGTATCGATGGCGAAGGGTTGGGTAGAGGATACCCCAGGTGCGAGCTGCCTGGCGGATGCTGTGCCCAGCAGCTATATCCTGGAGGGCCCGAAGAACCTCAGACTCACTATACTGCTTCATATTGTGATAGAGAAGATACCCTGAAAAAACGGCGTTGTTTGGCGATAAATAGCAATTGCTGTGATGGTGATGGTTTGAAGAAGATGGGTATGTTGGGCGATGAGGCATTTTTGGGTGGTTCAAATGTGGGGCTGGTTCAAATCCTGGGTGGCTGAGTTAAGGGCCGACCACTGGGGTCTGTCGTACTGCATAATACAATTCTGGCCAATGCTGCATGCTGTCCTTTATCAGATGGTTCGATAGGTAGTTGAGGTCCCTGATCGAAAAATTGATAGAGTCAAACCTCAGACTCTGTCTACAATCGTTACCCCAGGCAACCCAACGGGCTGGCCTTTACTGTCATCCACACAGCTACAGCTGCCGTTACCCTGAAAAGTGATCCGGATACTAGGCCGAGAAGAGCAGCATACTGCCAGGCATGTCCAGCTGTAAACCAAAAAACTAGGCCAATAACCAACTCGAATAACATAAAGTCGAGAAAGAAGATCGGCACCCATGCCATTGCTCGACGCATACGGGTGGGCTTGTGGCTGCTCTGGAACTCGAACGAAAGCATGATTGTGATCGTTGCTGTAAAGACTGCCGTGATGACTGAGCTGACGAGGAGGCATGTTGAGACATTGTTCAAAACCGAGGCGGTTGTTTCCGATCTACCAAGCAACATAATCATGGTAGCGCTGCCAGAAACGGCAGATGCGAGGATGATGGTTGGGTACAGACTCTTCAGACGGTCACTCTCTGCAATCTCTGCGTCGAGTTAGCAATCAGACGGACCGGAAACACTCATAGTGGAGCACTTGCCATGGGATGAGACGTGGTTCTTGGTCTCTATTGGGGAAGTCATTACTGGGAAGGTTGCCGATTTAGTTTGAAATTTAGAATGTGCACCCTAAGATAAGGAGCATCTGAGGAAAGATGATGAACCTCATGACTACACGTATGCGCCGATTGCGCAACCTTATTTAACTACTGCTTTGTACTGTTGATAATCCACCATCATGGTGCTCGTCCATTTCTTGCTCTTTGGCCGCTTCAAGATATGTACGACAATATCTGTGGCCTGTAGATGGGGCCGCATTTACGTACAGCCAAATGTAGCTGCTCTTTCTCAAGATTTGGATATGTGGGTCAAAAATGGATGTTCCAAGCCAGGGGCAAGCAGGGAGCAGACCTCCAAAGAAACATCAGAGAACAGACTAGAGGAACCCAACTTGCGCCTACACGAGGTGGGAGCGCCTGCCTCACATCGACAACTAAAGCACGGAAATCCGCAACGAGAAGGCAGATAAGGTGGAGTAAGCAGGAAAAGGAGACATCACTTGTAATCAGCTTAAATTGCTCTTCCGACATCGTCGCTGGGCGTAATCAAAAATTTCTGTGTGTGTGTGTGTGTGTGTGTGTGTGTGTGTGTGTGTGTGCGGTCCGGGAACGAATCACCCGGCACATGCGGCGTGTGCCCAGCTCGCTTCCTGTCCGATGTTTTCCCAGATGGGTTTACATCAATCCACATAAATTGAATGTACTCTCAATACAAACGGCCGGCAGGCGTGCGCCTGGTTCGGCCACGAAGGATTTCCCAATAATGCGCGATGAATGTTAACCAGGCGAATCGCCACTGCAGATGCTGTAGCTCGAACACAGCCAAAGAGCCGATCGTATCTTCGCCGAGACAACGAACTGGGTTATGGAATGCCATGCAAGACTCGGAGACGAGGAAGGCTCACCGCTCACTGCCAATGTTGCCGGCCTAGAGCTCGGGATACCGATGCCTTAGAAGTTTACAAGTTGCACTCGCCAGGAGTAACACTCACGCTCCGATTGGCGGTCACGAAGTAGCCGGTGACTTCGCGTTATATCTCAAAAACTTGCCCAAATGGCCACTTCTGCCGTGAAGTCAGGTTCCGCGGAGCCTGTCTGCCAATCGCCTCCTAATGAGCACTCGAGAGATTAAGGTTGCAATCATGCATCAGTGGTTCGCGCTGGCTTGGCACTGGCCAACGCATGGGAGCAATGAGTTTCGCACGTGGTGTCGGAAAACGCTCAGTATACAGAACACCTAGCGGCGCTCTCACAGCCAACAGGATGGGTTGAACAACATCACGTCCATCGACCACGCCCTCCAGGCCGTCACTTCAGCTGACCATGGTCCGCCACCCTGGCCTCACCGTGGCATGAACGGCGAAGATGTGTGGCGATGATCCATAATTAGCGGCGCCCCCAGGTCGCCGCAGCGGTATCAACTTCCCATGTGTTGAATGTCCGGTCCTTTGTCAACGGACTCGGGCGAAGTTATGAGCCCCGTCCTGGCCCTCGGGAGAGCCTCCGTGGCGGCCATGTTCGCTGGCCGCGGCACGCGGCACGCATGGGCATGCTGTCGCGGGTGTCTCAAGCACTGACCCCCCAAGGTAATTACGAAGTCCGCATTTGACGCGGCGGTAATTAACACTGGCGACCATGTCTGGTAAGCCACGGTCGCAGGTGTACGTACTTGCTGGAAGATTTGAAACATTCTCTGTCGCTTGCCGCTGTCACCCTCGTCGTCCCCTTGTAGTCGTTGCTCAATTAAGTCAGTTGAGAATGTCAACATCCTCTCGCTCTGACACCAAGTCAACGTTGGACCAGTGAAGGCGGTTGCTGTATATATGGACTGCTCCTCTTTGCTTAGTGGCTACTTGTTTTCCTATCAACTCATAGTCGCGGTGGGTTTCTGCCACCACAAGCCGGCCTCGCATTTCGGTTTCCTCGACTCTGAACCGTTGCTCGGACTTCCCTAACTGCTTTGACACCTAGCCGGATTTGGCGGATATGCCCGATCTCAAACTCTCCCTGCCGTCTTGCAAGTCGAATCTGCTTGGACACTTGCCAAAAGAAGCGGTGAATCTTTTTGGTGTTCTTTGCAATCCGAAAAACGGGCGCAACAGCAGCAGTTGGCGTCTTCTGGGTTTTCGTCTCTCGGCCAGGGGCTTCCTCGTTGCTTTCCGCTGTATTTTCCATCACCGCGTCGCCTCTCGTCTTCTCCACCTCCCCACTTTCCCAATCAGGCATGGTGGTGTTTGGCTGTTCTTCCTGCCGGCTGTCGTCGACTGGTCCAGAGGGATCAAAGCGACTGGTCGTCTTGGCTTCCATCTCAAACAGATCATGCATGCCAACCTCAAGGAACCCGATGAAGGAGTCCTCCTCGCCCGCGTTAGTCTTAGCCGCCGTGTCGGTGTCAACCACGGCGACGTCCTCCGTCATGTCGTCGCGGTTTTCGCTGAACGGCGCTGTTTCTGTGGGTATCTCATGTTGTGCTGGGTTCGTGGGATCTTCGTCCAAACGGGCGTCGCCTTGTTGGGTGTCCGACGCGATGCCGCAAATATCAGCGACACCATTGTCATTGGCCTCGATCTCATGAGGAGCATCCGAGTCTTCAGTCACGACTTCATTCGCTTCTGCGGCTTCGGCTGCGCTGGCAACGCTCTCTTCTGTTGCACTGTCTGTAAGCTGCCCCACTTTGTTGTCGCCTGCCTCCACCGTAGTTTGACTGGGCTTGGGGGTGGTCTCCCCCCGTCGACGGCGTGTGACC